AAGTATTTATCAGAGAGTGTCTTACAAAACTGACACAAAATACAATTAACAGCTTCACAATACAGCTATAAATTCATAACCAAAAAGACCAACAAGTAAGAAAGTAAAAGTGGCAATCCAACTTTTCAATGTTCCAAAATGTTCTTGAAAAGTTCTCTATCTATAAAGTTATTTCCAAGAAATAACTTGGAATTGGTTTTTCTGGAATTGGCCACAAACTGTGCTGACTAATTCATATATTCTTGTCCTTTGTATCAAAGGGCATGAATTTGGCATAACTGTCTAGAATTAATGGGCCTGTAACAAAAATCAAAGTAATCTGACCTACACAGTACTTAATGAATATACAGCTTCTGTCTCATTAAGCAGCAAACAAATGTTCTAAGGTTTGGGGATCCACACAACAGACTGTATAGGAGAGAAATTATTAATAAACTGCTTAAATAGGGGAGAAGGTGTAGCTCAGTGGTAGAGGACATGCTTAGCAATGCATGAGGTCCTGGGTTCAATCCCCAGCATCCTCCACTAAAAATAAATAAATGAATAAATAAACCTAACCACCTCCCCTCACCAAACAACAACAACAAAAAATAGAATCAGAACAAACTTTTAAAGGATTAGCAACATACATTTTCTTCCTTAAAGAGAGGTTTGTGTTTCAACTACTTTGAAAGATCAAAGAAAAGTATGCTATTAAAATGAATTAAACAGTGACTCTATAAACATTAAGTAAAAAAGTACTTACAAATCTTTTGTCTCCTTGTCCCATTCTACCACTAATTTCACATGAGCAGTGCCACCTGGTCCACAAGATTTTAGTGCCCTGCAGGATGAGGAGTGGTGTCTCATATTATTTTCTAAATAAATTGTTTTAAATATGATTGTCCTACCTAAAATCATAATGTGATTACTAAAAATCTCCATCATCGTCGTTTCCCATCAGAAAAAGTTTCTAGTGAGACCATTATAATCTCCTATTTAATAACTAGACTACAAAGGAAAAATCCTTAAGTTAAAACATCCAACATAGAAATAAAGATACTGGAAGAAATTTAGTACCACACTACAAAGCTATCCACAGTAACTCTTAGATGTTACCATCTTTCCAATTTCTGTCCAGCTTCTCACCAGGACTGACAGGACGACAGTTTCTCTGGGAACAAAGTCTGCTCCTGCACCTCTCCTCCTTCCCTCATAAACCATGCCTGCTCCCTGGACTGTGCCCACGCCAATTTAAACTTGAGGGGTGTCCTGCAGAGCACCCAAGTTTCACCTCACTTGTTCCCCTGAGCTCCTTGGCTCCTTGTCATCTCCAGAGACACTCAGCATTAACTGAGTCAATATTACACATAAAATGGGTTTTTTTTATGTTTTGCAATGTTTTGAATCATTATCTAATCTATTGATTCTCACCTTTAAAACCAAACAGTGAGCTGTTTTCAAACGGAACAATGTTGTATACTTTTTGGAATCCTGAAATGCAGGCACTACAATATTTATTGAAAAAACCATTATAATAAAAACGTGTTTTTATATTTATATGTATCCATAATGTGTCTATATACACATATCTATTCTTTTATTAATAATGTAGAGTGTTGTAATATAACAGAGGTGGCAGAGCGGAGTGACAAATTCTAAGGGGGGTGGGGAGGAGGAACAGTGTGAAGAGATGCTCAAAAGGAAGGTATTATCAACAGAGGAAACCACACGTGCAGAGGCACAATACAACCAACTGTATGTGAGAACAATCCTCACTACTCAGATGCCGCTGAAGGTTTAAGACAGTGGGGAGAGAAGAACGAGGCCTCACAGAAGGGAAGCAATCAGGGTTCAAACTGTGAAGAACTTCCTTTACTGTGGAAACTGGGTTCCAGCTTTTAGGCCACAAGTCACCATTTAAGGATTTCAAGGAGGAAAGTGGTCTGATTAGAATTCTACTTTGGAAAGCTTCAATCTTGGTGAATATGAGAGTGCAATTCATCTGCCGTTTTGAAACATAGATTCATTTACCTTCCTAACTAATTCATTTTCCTAAATACTCCAAGCTTTTCTGATGCCAAAAAAGATCATAAAACATATCCTACTCAAGTAAGAATTTAAAATAAAATAAGTGCTTACTTTCTAAATGAGCCTGAGTAACCTACCACACTTCCGTGGAAATTGTATCAGACATCACTGGAAATCACACACGAGCATATACGAAATTCTAGAAGGTGATTTTAATTTTTTTGTTTTTACCTTTCTACTGTTGGGTGGCACAGGGGCTGCTCCTCCTGGGGCAGCAAGTATGTTATTCCCACAACACTGACCACGCGCAAACTGAATGGACACACCTGCGTCAAATGGTAAAGGAGAATCAGGCCAGGTTTCTCTTCGAGGGCATCTGTTTCACAGAGGCATTTCCAAAACAGATTAGAGGGACAGCAAACTGTTCTGCAAAACGCTTCTCCACAATATTATGTTAGGTTGTTGGGCCACTCTAATACACTTTAAATACGATTTACCCAAGTGAAATTTACGTATCAAATATGTTATGCAAGACAAGTAATATGTTGCTTTAGTTGAACATTAACTTAAGTTTTCCATGGATACCTTAACATAGTAATCATAATTCTGGAATACACAGACAGATATTCTATAAAATCTCTCCAAGCTGACCATGTGCTAAGCTTTATTAGACAAAATATTATAAGGGCGGGTGTGTATAGCTTAAGTGGTAGAGCACATGCTTAGCAAGCACAAGGTCCTGGGTTCAATCCCCAGTACCTCCATCAAAAAACTAAACAAATAAATAAATCTAATTCCAGCCCCAACAAAAAAATAATTAAATAAAATAATTTTTAAAATATTACAAAGGAACACTAGCAGTTCACAGAAAACCTTGCAGTGGCCAGCTCCCTTGAGAAAATGAGGGATAATTCCTTAGTGTTAAAAATCTGAACACAGCTGATTATATTAAACATGCTTTCTCCAGGGCTTCCTAACATTCCAGCGCAGTGTTTAGTCTTCCCTGAGGGCAAAGGTATGAATATCCAATTTCACTGCAGTGACTGTTTCTTCAATGGTTACACACATGCTATACTGGAGTATCAAAGGCTTACACACCTGAATGCAAACCGTGGGCCTCAAGAAATACTTCATCTTCTCCAAGATTTCCTTCTGTAGAAGGTCCCATGCTATTGTCTTCTCTAAGTGCAGCACAAAGGGCAGTCCAAATCTAACACACATAAACACTGTAATCACCTTCAAAAGTATGACAACTCCTTTAATATGATAATTCCTTATTTGTGATCTTTTTAAATGGAGTCACAATACAATTAGTTTTAGGACAGTTCTCAAAATAAAACAAATAGGAAATTTAACACTTTCATTAAGTGGATGAAAGAGTCAGAAGAGAAACTTAGGTTTCTAAACAAATTGAACAACTCACATACCAAAATGGCTTCCACTAGCGTATGATGCTATAGGATATTACATAGCAAGGTGACAGGGTTAGTGGGGACGGAGGAAAGCAGGTGGGAGTGAACACAAGTCGAGTAAACAGCATGGGTCAAACATATAAGGGGTCAGATGCCAGAGGAACAGTCAGAGAGGACTGCAAGGTCTAGCAGGGAGATGGCCACATCCTGGTAGCCTGACCACGAGGAAGGCACTGGCAAGCAAGCGACACTGAAAGTCAGCTGCTAGCCTAGGGGAGAAGCCACACAGCCCCTGCCAAGTTTCCTACCCAGTACTGAGCTCATAGGTGTTAGAGAACCAGACGCAGTGCCGTGATTCTCAGCCATGGCTGAAGGCTGCTGTCACCGAGGGAGCTTTACAACACCTGCCCAAGAGCAGGTCCCTGAGATTCTGCTGTAATCACTCTGGTCTGTGGCTCAAGCACTGAGATGTTTTAGGGCTTCCCAGGTAGTTCTGATATGCTGCCAAAGTGGAGGAGCTCTGCCTCGCCTTAACTCTCACCCAAACCCCAGCCACTCAGACCTATCTGCTGTGCCCTGAATGCATCCGACTCACATATCCAATGTACAGCCAATCCCCTCAGCCTGGAAAACCCTTCCCATTGCTCTTTTAGGCTGTTTCCCACTCATCCACATAAGGACCCAGTGCAGGATCTTCTCCAGAAAACACCATGTTGATCTGTTCTCTGAGTGCTCTGCACCACAGCACTACTGCCCTGCAAATACTGCCTGCCTATTTCCCCGCGCCTCCACCAGCCCGCTGTGGGTTATCTGACAGCAGAGGCTATGACTTACTCTTCTTAGTAGCACAAACAGCCAATGCCTGGAAAATAGCAGATACTGAATGAATGAACAAATGAATGAATACATAAACAGATAAATCCCGACTCAGGTCAAAGCAGAGGTCCTCAGGTCACCAAGATACCTGCTCCTAGCAAATACCAGTTTACTCAAAGCAGTATTCAACAGCCAGCCTACCTGCCTATAAGCTGTGAGGTGAAGTACGTTACAAGTACAATGTGAAAACCGTCTGGCCGTATTCATCATATGAGAATGTCTTCACTTTTAAGAGACCAGCATCGTGAAGGGGATTCCATTAAGTTATTTTATACAAATACAATGAGCTGCCTTTCCTTCTGTCCTTTTAGTCTCAGCCTCTTTGCACCTGATGTCCCCTTTTCATGAGATCCTTTCCCCAAGGCTCACACAGCCCACGCCTTCTTACTCAGCTCAGCCCAGCTGCACCTCCTCAGGGAGGCCCTCCCTGACCTCCCCGCCTGATACAGTTTTGCCAACCTCACCCCACCACTGGCACTTTCTATCATACCAGCCTGTTTAAATATCTTCAAAGTGGTAATGATGTCTGAAGTTAAACGTGTTTACTTGGTTTTAGTTGCTCTGTCCTAACAAGGATGCAAGCTCCAGGAGAACACAGATCCTGCTGCATCTCTAATGTTTAGAACAGTGTCCGACACACTGTAAACAATACAGTATTTGCTGATGAACACCGTAAATAGACAAATCAACACATTTTGCATTTACATTATTTACCATTCTTCAATAAGAAACTTACTTCAAAGCAACATTTTAAAAGTTTAATACAAATGCTACCCTGACGAATACTAGAGACACAGTATTCTTCCTCCCTGAAATATATCTTTATCTTGTTACTACTCAGGTTACATTATTATGATGATAAAGTCACTTTCAAAGACAGCCTAAAACTCCCACAAATTCTTACACTGGGAAACAGATTTGAGACAGATTTCTAACTCCCAAATTTCCAACTAACTGTGGCTGAATGAAAAGTGGTGCCATTTGCTGAGACAGGAAATACTGGAGGGCCAGGTTTACAGGGAAAGATAATGAGCTTAGTCTGGAACATAAGACTGAGGTGCACATACCATCCAAGTAGATTTGTTAAAAAACTTAAAAAAAAAGTTAAGAAAGTAGCTGGATATGGGTCTATAGGTCTAAAGCCTCAAAAGGATCTTGAGCTGAAAATATACATGTGAAATAAGCTTTTGAAAACTGCATGAGCTTGAAGAGCTTTTTTAACTCAGACTTTTATCATCCTAATTTTATATTCTCCCCCTCCCAAGCCCTCAAATCAGGTCAACTTACACACATGCTCTTTTTAAATAACAGAATCAAAAATTAACTACTAAAAGTAAGGATTTTTTTAGCTCTATTTTTTAAGACATTTGAAAATATTAGACTTTCAAAGTCTTAACACTTATTAGAAAATAGCTGGTTTTCACCTTTTCCCTTGCTGCCCAGTGCAGGCTCGGTTACACACTAACAGAACAATCTTGTCACTCCCTGGTTTTGCAGGGCGCAGGTCCACTTTTCCTTGCTTTGCGGCTGCTTGTGTTGGAGAAGACAGTCTATGATGATCCAAGCCAAATTTCAAGTGGTTTAGGTTGTTGTTTAAATGGATTCCTAAAATAAAATAAAAACTTACTTTATCTCTTCAAAAAATTTTATTCACCCATTACAAGAAACATTTACCCATTAGAGAAATTAAGAAGTTGTCAATATGTAATTTCAACTGCAGTTGAGAAAAGGAACAAATGATCTACTTTGAGATTATTCAACTAGCCATTAAGATGATTTTTAGCATCCGTTATCTCATTTAAACTGACCTTACCTATCTCAAAAACTGAAAATTAAAACTCTTCACTTCAACGAACATTACATACAGTTTGCAGAGCTGATCCACCAAGACAAATTTAAAGTAAGACCATACAACCAGCAACCAAATAAAATGTTTTAATAAAACATAAAGACTGGTACATGTGGAATAATCTTCAATATTCCAATAGCAGCTTCTTTTCCCTGATTGAAGAGCCAGATTTACAAGAAATTTGCAGAACTTTAATATAATCAGCTAGACTGGATTGAACTACATTAAAGTGAACAAAAATATATGTCTGACAGGCACAGTAGTGGTTGCTGAAAACCACGTCTTCAGAAATGCCCCAAAGGAGAGCTATCAATCAGAGGTACTCAGCACAGAGCACCTGTCCCTGCATCTAGTCTGAACTCAATAATTACTAGATTAAATAACTGCTCATCTCTTCAATCCTTTAGAACTAGAGTCTAAGGAAACGTTACTCAAATGATACTAGGGAACAGAAAAAGCCCTCCACCACCACCACACCAAAAAAATAATACCACCATCACCAGAAGGAGAATAAAATAAAAGGTGGTTTACACAAAAGTATTCATAGCAAAACTCCATCAAGAACCTAAATATCCAGAAATAGGAGGTTTGTTGAACCTATGAGGTATGTCGGTGTTACAGCAATTTAAAATGACAAATGCATATTTAATACCAAAATAAATTCCAGATAAATTAGTTTAAAAATTAAGAACACAGATGCTAGAAATAAGGAAGAACTGAATCTTCACCAAGCTATTAGAGGAAAGAAAACTTTTTAAGCATACCATAAAAAAACCACAAAAGAGCATCAGATTTCCCTTCATAACCTTTTTAAACTTTGGTATGAGAAAATAAATAGAAGTCTGAATCTCAGACAATGAATGGGTTCTTTTCCCAGGTTCTTGGTAGAAGGAAGGCTGGGAAGATCTGTTCTGCTAAAAGTGATCAGGATTCCTAACGAGATGAGAGGACACCACTCAGATGCTCAGAAACCAAGCTCTGCACTCAAAGTCTAGACATGTTACTACCAGTGGTGTGACCCCCGCCCGTTACCAAACCTAAGTCTTAGCTCCCTGATCTGTAAACTGGAGAAAAGAGGAGTCCCATGTGTACTGGTCAAAATATTCATGAGGCCTTTATAAAGAAGAGGCTTACACATATTCACTACGTGGTATATTCTTCCAACAAAGGCACTCACTCTCTCGCTAGACTATATACCCTTGGACCTCACCAAATTCACTTATAAACAGAAACTTGGTGCTAACCCTAAGCAACTGGGCTACAAAGGGAAATTTGGGGAAACTTCCAGTTGGACAAATGTTATCTGTGCTCTTGCTATGTATCAGGAACTATACTGAACTGCTGGGTACAGAAAGATGAAGCAAAATGTAGTCTCAATCACAGAGAATTTCACAGTGTAGTAGGAAGGCTAGAGAAGAAAACAGATCATTTCCACACAAAATGCTACTGTCAGAGATCAGCAGAAGCTACACTGAACTCAGGAGAGCAGGAGTCAATCAGCCAGCCTGGGGTAGGGGGACGTGGGGAAAGGCTTTCTGGACAAGATGATTTTGATGACTGGCTATTTTTGACTATAATGCAATTAAAATTAGAAAACAACAGCACATGCATAAAAATGCAACAACTAGAAGACAAACAAAAAAAAGCTCCCAAGTCAAAGAATGAAAACTGAAACAGCAGACTGTCTAAAAAATAATAATGTAAATATGAGTAGACCAGAGAAAACTGAATCCTAGGCTGGCAGTGGAGAAAGCTGACCAATCTAACATACAGTATGACCAAAAGGTTCAGAAACTAGAGGCACTAGAGACCTCTGGAAGCAGAGGTGAAGGAAAAGAAGAACTAAAATAAGAGACCTTTCTACAGAGTCACCTTTCTACAGAGAATAGTCTCTTCAACAAATGGTGCTGGGACTACTGAATATTCACATGTAAAAGAAAGGAGTTGAATTCCTACTTCACACCACTCACAAAAATTAACTCAAAATGAATCAAAGACCTAAATGTAAGAGCTATAACTATAAAACACCTAGAAGAAAACATAGCTGTAAATCTTCATGGCCTTGGAATCCATTTGGTGATGGATTCTTTGATATGACATCAAAAGCAAAAGCAACAAAAGGGAAAAAAAGATAAATCAGACTTTATCAAAATTAAGAACTTTTGTGCATCAAAGGACACTATAAGAAAGTAAAAAGATAACCCAAAGAATAGGAGAAAATATTTGCAAGTCATATATCTAGTATCCAGCATATGTAAACAACACTTACAACTCAAAAACAAGAAGACAAACAACTTAATTTTAAAATTGGGAAAGGACTTGAACAAGCATTTATCTAAAGAGGATATACAAATGGTCAACAATCACATGAAACGATGATCAACACCATTTACCATTAGGAAAATGCGAGTAAAAATCACAGTGATATTAACACTTCACACCCCCTAGGATAACTTTAATTAAAAAGACAGAAAATAACAAATATTAACAAGAATATGGAGAAATTGTAACTCTCACACATTGCTGGTGGGGATGAAAAATGCTGTGGAAAACAGTCTGGCAATTCCTCCGAAGGTTAAATACAGAATTACCATATGACCCAGCATTTTCACTTTTAGGTATATCCTCAGAAAGAACTGAAAATAGGTATTCAAACAAATACTTGTGCATGAATGATCATAGCAGCACTATTTCATAATAGCCAAAAGGCGGAAACAACCCAAATGTCCATCAGTGGATAAACAAAATGTGGTATATACATACAATGGAGTAACATTCAGCCATAACAAGGAATAAAAGACCGATATATCCTACAATGTGGATGAATCTTGAAATATTATGCTAAGCAAAAGAAGCAAGTCACAAAAGGCCACATAGTATATGATTCCATTAATATAAAAGTTTAGACTAGGGAAACCTACAGACAGAAAGCAGAATTGCGGTTGCTTAGAAATGGGCAAGATGGGGAGATTGGGAGGTGGTCTTAGGGTAGACAAAGTAGGAGCTAATGAGACAGGAGCTGGAGAAATGAATTTGCAACAGAGGGAACACTAGGGAGAGTATTAAAGCATGAGGCATGTTCAAGGAATAAAGAGTAACTTGGATACAATACATGAGGAATAAGATGAAATATAGCAGAGGGGCTGGAAAAAAGGCAAAGACTAAATCATGAAGGGCCATGCATCTTCCAAGGTGTTTAGATTTAATCGTAGACAAAGACCAAGAGGAACCACTGGTACATCAGTAAGCATGTAACATGATCAGAACTGTCTGTTGGATTAAGTCTTGTGGCACTGTGAGGAAATAACTGAACGGGTAAAGAAGTTACTAGAAAAGCCCAGCTGAGACTGGTCTGCACTGTGTCAGTGGCAGTAGAATCAAGAGGAAAGCTGCAGAGTGTTTGATCAGTTCTTTGTGAATTTTTGAGGGAGAAGTCAAAATTTGAGGGAGTAGTGGGACCCAGCTCAGGTGAAGAGACAAATGGAGATGCTGCATTCCATGGAAGAAATGCACGAGGAACTAAGGCAGAAATGCTCAGTGTAAGATGCCTGTGGGACTCTACGGAGGGATTCCAGTGGACAGCTGGAAGTCAGGGAACAGAACCAGAAGAAAAGTGGGGGCTAGTGGAGAGTTTAGTTCGAAAAATTCACAGCAGGAGCAAATACTGGTAAGACTGGGTAGAGAAACAGTTTTCAAACTTTCATGTGCATCAGAATCCCCTGTTGAAAACAGACTGCTGGGCCCTGTCCCCAGCATTCCTCATTAAGTGGGTCTGGGGTGGCAACCAAGAATTTGCATTTCTAGCCAGTTCCCAGGTGACACTGATGCTTTGATAACCACCGGAGTAGAGCAAAAAGAAGAGAAGCCCTAGGATCTTGAAGGACACTAAGGCCAGGAACAAAGTTCTTCCCAGGAACTCCCTTCTTACAGGGAAACAGGTTACCCATCATCATAAAAAGATGTGTTACGTGTATTTTACCCCAATTTAAAAACTATACCATCATATAATAATCTAAAAGGGTAGACAGTTGTTAAACCTGCAAACCCAGGTGGTATTATGGAAACATATGCTCATTTACCTCTTTGACTGAGAATTCCTTCAGGCCTAAATATTTCTGGAGTCTCAAAGGCAAAAATGCAGTCGCTTTCATGGACTGTTTCCAGGTCGTCTGTGTCACAAAAGGAACGATGGAACCCATCATAGTACATTTCTGTTAACACAATCTAAAAATGGGAAAAATGTAAACAGTTGGATAACTGGAAAGTCGCTATGAACTGATCTCCCAACCCAGCTGTGAACTTCTCCAGACCAGCAGTACTGCAGTGATCTAAGGGCTCGGAAACAAGTCACTGAGCCCACAGGATCTGCCTCTAACAAGACAGTCTTGGAAGCACAATACCCTCTGCGATTGTGTAGCAACACACTCTGATTTCAGAGTGCCGTGCCACCACACCCAGAGTTCCTCTAAGTCTTGGTGAAAGAGACTCAGCAGACATAAAGGCTAACCCCCTTGTTTCACAGGGAGGAAGAAACCAAAGAGAGATGGAGTGACTTGCCTAAGGTTATACAACCATTCAGTCTCGTAGCGGGGACAGAGCACATCTGACTCCGAGACTTTCTCCCATACCATTAAATCTTCTTCTTTTCAGATTAAAAAATGTCAAATGGATATTTGCATCAGAAAAAAATGAAATCAACTCAAATGTCCAACGGTGGGAGCTAGTGAACTATTCTCCAGTTCTACTGGAATTATAAAGCAAATGCAAAGAATGAGTTGCATATATTTCCACAAACATGGAAAGATTTCCTAAGTAAATATAAAAAGTAGGGAGAGAACAGTGTGTATACATGATTCAATTTTCATAAAATATTAAATATAGCATATGCACAGGAAAAATATGAATGAATATACAACACAGTATTAAAGTTAGGTAACCCTTAGTTCTAAGATACTCAGCACAAGATACTTTCACTTACTAAGCTAAGTTCTGAAACAGTTGAGTATCTTATAACAGAAAACAGAAAAGCAAAAGATGGGGGAAAAGACAATGGAGACATTTAGAGACTTCATTATATGCTCAGCTGCACCGCCCAGTGAAAAAGCACCGGACTGGGCCTGAAGAGGTTCCAGTCCCGGCCTGCCACCAACCAGCCCTGTGATCTTGAACAAATCACATGGTTTCTCTGGGCCTTCTTCAAATGAGGCGGTTGGACTGGACCCCTAAGGTCCCCTCAACTATCACAGACATACTGTGTATGAGTCTATGAGGTGAAAGGGGCTGATAGCATATTCCACAAATAGTCCAAGAAATAGATTTCTGGCACATTTTTCTTCTAATGACTTTAATCACCACATTGTTTTCCCACAGGTGAACGTGCAAGTATAACTCACTTTCTTCAGCAAGCTAAGGTCAAAAACAAACCTGTAATTGTATCATTCATTTAAACCACATGCAAAAAGAGCCAGAAGCTTACAACCAGATTTTGCCTCGGACACATACCTAAACCTCCCTCCCTCTTTCTGTCTTTTCCGTCATCTCGAAAAAAAAAAAGAAGAAGAAGAAGAACCAATGAGCACTTCAGAGTAAGAAGAACACGAATTTTATTAATCTGCCAATACTTGGCCTATGAAAATCTAACATATTTGCTGTATCAGGGCAACACTGTTGACTGTATTTGTTTTATTGTGGTAACTTCCCAAATGAGAACACAGGAGGCCAAAGTACAAAACACCTTTATTATTCACGTGATTACATAGCAGCTTCCAGAAGTTATTTAGGGAAAAGCTATTCAGCCACTGAATCATGTTTCCTCAGTAAGTTTTAAATAGGGAATTTTCTTCCCAAATAAAACCATAATATTTAATTGTGTAAAAAAAAAAAGTGTATGCAAAAGTATGTCAAGTTACAAACAGGCCAGAAGTATTGGGGTCAATATAACTAATTATCAAAAAGTAAAGAAAGGTGGGGGGGGAGGTACAACTTTCCTTCTCATCCCTAAACAGGATAAGAGACTTTAATCAGCTTTAATCAGAAAATAAACCAAACTGAGCACCCGAATGTAACTGTACTAGTAAGATGTTCACTCTTATCACCATAACGGGAAGAGATTTTTCAAGAGCGAGCAGTTGAGTTTTCTAAGCCTCTCTGACCTTCAAACACCACAGGATGCTCTTCCTATGCTCACATATGCATCCCTAAGAATGACTTAAAAGAGGGTAACTAATTATAAACAAAGCTAGAAAAGGTCTTCGTGTAGTTATAGCTTTTCCTCTTAAATATACATATACACAATTAAACGAAGCATGAGAAGTTCGTGTGTATATTTTTCTCCTTTGGATCTTGATTTTTTATTTTCCCTTCAACACCAGAAGCAAGTGGTTTTAAATCTCTATCTAATCGTATTTGGCAGAGAACTGTTAAAAGATGCCACTAAAAGAGAAAGCAACACTTTTGTGGCTCGTGCGTAATCGGTCTTAGCAAGCTTATTACCTGATCAGTGGGGATCTTTGTTTCCATAGACACTGCTTCCCGGAGTCTGGCGACAGTCCCAGACAGAGGCACGGCCACGCCAATCCGCATGCAGTGGGAACATTTCCCTTCATACACTACAGTGACATAGAGAGGCCTGTACGGATCAAAGTCAGATCTTCTCATTAGTCACTTATTTCAACTAAAATATAGAAGCAAAACAACCCCGAAAACAACAAAACTGAAGTTAACCCACACCTTTAGTTGGACTTAAGGAGAACTATCAAACAATAATCAAGAGCTCTTTGGAAAAGGTAATCCTTATAAAGCAAAAACAGCTTGGTATCAATACTTGGTTCTGTGCTTTGTATTTTCTTTAAAACAGGATAACGCCTACAAATTTTGAGAAACAGTTCAAATAAAGCAACTAATTAAAAGTGGAACGTAAGGTCTTCAGAGGCTTCAGAAAGCACTCCACAACCTCTCCTGCCCCCACACTACAGGTGGACGGCCAGCTGCACAGACCACAACCAGATCAACCGAAAAGACTTGCTTGCCCCATGCATCTGCTTGCCCTGTAAACTCAAACAGGCACTTATAAACTTCTGTAAGGATTTAATAATGCCTGTATTTAACTTATCACTAATCCTATTACTTGTCTAAATATATAAGAAGCCCTAACAGGAGCCTACAGAGGAAAAGGAACACACAGGAATATAGTCTTAATTTCATTAACCCTGTTCTTACCTTGTGTGGGGTAGAGGAATTGGCAAAGAAATGCAGAGGAAAGGATCAAAAGTGTTGCTCTGCTTCTGACAGTGAGGACACGTCAGAGAAGATCTTCAAAAACAAAAATGTAAGACGCTCACATTAAGATCACCTAGAACTATGTAAGCAGATAACATAAGGGAAAATTGCATTTGCTCCTACCTGTACTGGGCTTGAAAAAGTTCTTGAACAAAAGTGCTACAGACAGGAAAAGATGGTCCCTCAGGCATCAAATCAGTCTCTGATGGTGGCTAAAAAAATAAATAAATAAAATACAATTTCACAGACTAGAAGTGCCAGTTCTTGATTGAAGATGAGCCTAAAAATGTCACAAATATCTTTGACCTCCTTTATAAGATATGTGTCAGATCCAGATGTTTCAGGGAAAGGCTTCTGCTAAAGGAACCAGAACACAGCTGCCAGGATGTGGGTCACACAGACTCACCTCCTCACAGGCTCTCCCGGAGAACGGTGCTGACCCCTCTCTCCGCCCCAGCCAGGCAGTCAGGGAGTCCTTAACCAGGTACTCCCAGCCCCCTCCAATGCTCAAAGTGCCCCCTCCAACCTCTTCCAGGAAATAATCCCAACCATTCAGAAGTACCAATTCTTCCCCTGCCTAAATTCTCTAGCATCTATTAGCTCTGCTGCTCATTTGGGCATAAATCATCCCACTTCACATGTTACTCATTAACCTTTCCGTGTCCCTCCCCCTAACAATTAGTTACTAAGCATCTGCCACCACTGCAGAGAGCACCATAAAGGGCATTAGGATTCAAAGATAATACGACACAGTGCCTGACCTTGAGTACGTCTCAATCTGGTGGGAATGCCAGCCACAAGCATAAAGTCATATGACAGTACAGAGTGTTCAGGCACAAAGGACCTTCAATCAGAATAATTTAACAGCTTACCAAAACTAGAAATTTAAAATTTAAGATACAGAAAAGAATTACCGAAAATTTTTAAAAGCTGAGAGAGGAAAACAACACTTTAGTCTTAATTACCTCTATTGTATAAATCATTTTACCCATCACATTAAGACTACATAAACAAAAATTGAGAATGAATCATGGTTGCTCAGTAAGAATATTCTAAGGGTTCAGCTCCTACACTCAAATCTAATCCTAACAGCAGAGACACCATATATTTCCTTTTTGATTGTGTATTCTATTCCAGTGATCGACAGACTATGTCTCATTGGAATAGAAAGCAAATTTCTGCTTTAAAAAAGGTTAGTGAGATGGAATCAACTTAATGTTGGTCTAAAGCTAGTCATACATGCAAATGTATCCCCTCTCATTAGAGTGTAAGCTCCTTGGAGACAGTCTCTTGTATCTGGCACAGCCAGCACAGTGGCAAGCATGGGGAAACGTCCCCTAAGTACCCATAAATTTCAAACTCACCCAGAGCTTAGTCAATTTCACTGTATTAACTAATTGCAAACGGCAGCAACTCCTCAGAGGAGGTTTGGTAGAAGAATTGACACTCTCTCCTATTCTGTTCACCAAATGGCCACTGAGCCCCAGCTCACAGCTCCCTGATGGCCCTGCGGGAACGCCTTTACCTTCAGAGGAGGCTGGCCGCTCTGCTTCACAGCATGATTGAGGTCTTCATGAACTCGGTCCAAAAGCCACAGCAGAAACTCCTGGGCATCGTGCTGGGAATTTCCCCGATATTGCAGTGCATTCTTTGACACAATACTCTATACAGGTAAATAAATCAGCATGAATAGTTGTGAGTTCCTGGCTCTAAAGATAAACTATTCATAATTCCAATGAGGAATGCAAGATCTCAAGGCTGTTAGAGAGTACTTCCTGGAAAGACAGCAAATATAAAAACAGATGCTCAATGTAAAAACCCCACCTGTGAACCAAAGACTTTTAAATGCACCCACCCAACGATCCTACTTTCTGGAATGTATCTAAAGGAAGCCATCAAAACAGCATGCCAAGACTTCTAAGAAGATATTCATTCACTAATAGCAAAACTCTGATAATAACTTCTACATCTTAAAAATGAGAATTGTTACAAATATCAAATCATTATGTTGTTAACCTGAAACTAATATAATGTTATATGTGAATAATACCTCAATTTTTAAAAGAGAAAAAATGAGAATTGGCTAAATATCACAGTATTAGATTATAAACTGAAGTATAAAATAAACAAATCTACATAAGGTAAATGAGTGAATAAATAAGTAAGAAGAGACAAATCTCCCTTATAGACGAATTCTAAATAATTTATGTCAGTAACCCCCGTCTCCAGGAGTTAGATCTTAACCCCCACTATGGGCTGTGACAGTGACTTGCTTCCAAAGATTAGAGTTAGCAAAGAGGGGTAGCCAGTATAAGGTCACAGGTGAACTGGCTAATTAAGATTAAGACCATGGGGCTCTGGAAAATATAGCTTGGGTTTAAATCTGTCCAACCACTCACTATTTGGGAGGTCAGACCTACTTTCCTCAGAAGTAAAATGGATAGGGGGCAGGGGTAGAGCGCTCAATGGTAGAGTGCGCTCTTAGCATGCATGAAGTCCGGGGTTCAATCCCCAGTACCTCCATTTGAGAAAAAACAAAAAAACAAAACAAAGTAAAAAGGAAAATAATGATTTAGTGTAATGGTTAAGTGAGAATGCATGCAAAGCATCTCACATTAAATGACATATAATAAGCACTCTAATTTTAGCTATGAGTATTGAATTGAAGTGGGGAGAAAGGAGGGGAGACAACTGCACAAACACAGAGCAGACAGGAGACAAATGAAATGATGAGGCAAGAAATAATAAGGGCTGAGCGAAGTCTGTGAGGACAAATTTGAGAGAGATTTAGGAACTGAAGCAGTAGAATCATTAGGATTTCCACCTAATGAACATGGAAAATGAGGAAGAAGGCATTAATGTCATCCTGGTGTCTTATCTGGATGATGGGCCACTGGTGGTTCCCTTCATCAAGACAAAATAAAAAAGGAAGAAGTCTAGAAAAGAGGGTGATGAGTTCCCATTAGAATCCACTGTAGTTGAAGTTCTGTGCAATCTCCAAATGGAAGTATTTGGTAAACAACCAAAAAATACAGATCTGCTCAGTGGAAGAGTTTGTGCTAAGTGGGACAAAGATTTGGGGGTCAACAGATGGGTGGTTACTTGAAATCATGAGTATGACTAAGACTGCCCAGGCAAGATCACGAGAGATCAAGCCGGAGGACAGAATCCAGAGGAAGGCTATCTTTTAGGGGGCCCTCAAAGGAGACCAAGAAAAGGTCATTAAAGACGTGGCTAGAATATCAGGAGAAAAAAGCCCCAAGAGTCAAGAGAGAGTGATCAATAATGTTAAAAGTTGAAGAATAATCAAGTAAGTCAAAGAACTAATAACTGTCCATCATATTTTCCAATTACTTTCAGTGGCGGGGTGGGGGGCAGGGTCGTTCTCAGCATATGCAGCCTAAGAAACAAATTAACTGAAATCAAATGCTTCTTCATGTGTCAAAGCAGCTATATTTTATGCACAGTGTCCATGAAATTCAGGATGGAGACAACATTCAATTCTTTATGAGAGATAAATTGGGAGCTTGAGATTTACAAGTATTAACTACTATATATAAAATAAATAAAAAACAAATTTCTCCTGTATAGCACAGGGAACTATATTCAATATCTTGTAGTAACCTATAATGAAAAATATGAAAATGAACATATATGTATATGTATGATTGAAACATTATGCTGTACACCAGAAACTGACACACTGTAACTGACTATACTTCAATGAAAAAAAAAATTCCTTATCAGGATTGCACTAAACTTGATTTATGCTTCCCGCCACTCTCACTGCAACTCACCCAGCATTTATCGTCCAATCGCTATGTACAAGGTGCTGCGCTGAAGCTGCTCAACAAGATTCTTGTTGGGCAGGACTAAACAAGCAGCAGGACCTCCGCTTCCCTCTGAAACTAGGGCGAAAGCGGCTCTGGGTCAGCCCCACCCTAAATCACTAACTACATCTCCAACTAAAAGAAATTTTACAGGAAACCCCACTGAACATACACAATACAAAGGCTCCTTTTCCCTTCACAATGGTGACTTCTTCCCACTGCAGGGACCCAAGGGACTCTTTATTTTACTTCTTCCCCTGACAAAACAAAGCACTGAATGATCTAATAACCACACTTTTAGTGCACACTGCAGAAGGAAGAAACACAGTAGGAGTTAAGGAACCTGGGCTGGAGCACAGCTCTGCCACACACTGGTTATCTCATGCAACTCACCTAACCTGGGATTTCCTGGCTGTACATCAGAACAGCGGAGCTGGGCCATCACAGAGACCTGGCACACCAAATCTTCACCCAAGCTCTGCCCCTAGAGTCCCAGCAAGTGATTTGGTTTTTGTCTGGGGCCACATCTGACACTTCTTTGGTTGTCTTTTATGATTTTTTTTCCATAATTAAATCTTAGTTTATTTGATGTCCTAAAATTAATCCTTCTGTATTTTTGTAGTTTTTTAAAAAGTTGATTATCACTAGAATATGTCATCTGAAAATATAAGCATTGTTACAATCTAAGGAATCATTTATATTTGTCACTTCTATGAAAAATAGAGTATGAACCTTCTCAAAATTAACCTATATAATTTGTGTCTATTTTATAGAACTTGGGTATGGTGTTGGTTTGTAAAAACATTAAACTGAATCTGTTGCTTTAAATTCTTTACTTCCTATTACAAATACATTTAATCATCATTCCAATTTTCCACTCAGGATGATGCCTAACATCTAGCTACTAAACAATGAAGTAAAAGTCAAAACACACTGTAGGGCTTTCAAGTCTCATAAAATTTCTCTCTACCCTTCAAATAAAACCTTAAGGCCTAAAATTACAGAGAACTTTTTCCCCTTAAAGAAAATAAGGGAGAGGGGGCGAACATTGGAAACATGGCCCAGAACAGAAAAAGAATTAAGTCTATCCAACTGGAGCTATAAAATTAAACACAGGGTTCTTTCTTTTCATAGAGCCCTAGTCCAGAAGCAGCAAAATCCTGGGCTCTGGGGAAAAGACATCGTTCACCTGACTCCAGGAAGAAGATGACAAAGCAATGGCAACTGGCAATTTCCCTCCCTGGGGAACAGACCTGGCAGTATTGGTCGGACATGAGTTGGCGCACTCTTTGGGGGAGCTTGCCAAAACTCATCAAATGAAATCATCACTCCGTTTCCTTGATTCTATGCCAGAAAAAACATGGAATATATTTTCAGTGATTCTGGGAAAGAACAGAAGAACTTGGGAGGACATTAAAATTTACATTTTAAGAGAAAGATGAAGTGTAAAAAAGCTGGGTTCAGAGATGGTATCTCACAGTGAAACTTGGTTTCTGGATGTGCTGGAAAGAACAAAACAATAAACACTTGTCTTGAGAAAAGTTTCATGTCTTGTATCTGACATTCTGGATACCTAAGTTGGTAAAGAATTAATTAACTAAAAACAGAGGATGAAATTGGTACAAATTGGTACAAATGTACACTGTAAAGACAGATATGACCCATAAAAATCAGTAACAGAGAAAGTGTCTTACAACAGAATTCCACACCAGGGTACAGAACACAGCCACACTCAAACAGGGCTCTCTGTGACCTTCCTCTAGCCCTGCCTCCTTATCTTCACCTCTGGTGGGGAGGTCTTTTCACATAACAGCACAAATGAGGCAGAGAGGCCCTCAGTATTAGCCGCCAGACTTCCACACATACTTTCCCTATGCCTGGAGTGCTCATCTCCTAATGCACCCCGCTCCCAACTCTCCTTCCTGGTGGGGGAGGGGCAGACTGAAAAGGAAGGAGACAACAGGAAAGGAGCTTCCATCCAGGACAGAAAGCAACTCAGGGAGAACAGTAGAGAATGCCACACACAACCCGTTCTTGTGTTCATGTTTGTTACAGGGAAACGTGAGTTATTTCTGATACAGAGCTCCTTGATCCTTCCAGTCAGAGGCCCTAACATAAGGTAACTCAAGTACAGGTGTCCCTCAGATCCAAGTTCTCAAAAGCCAAACTCAGGAACTAAAACAATTTGCATAGCAAGAGATACTTGCAATTATAAGACTAGCTTTCTGTATTAAACAAACTCGTAAGTAACCACAAAGACGTGGTGGCAGGGGACTCACTGCTGAAATGAAGAATAGGAAAGGGTATATTCTTTTCTTAAAGAAAAGGCTATAATAAAAGGATTGAGAAATGGTTACTGCATTTCAAGAAATTACAGTTAAGGATGGAGGTATGGTCAAGATCATTAGAGCCAGAATAAAAGAGAGAAATATAAAAAGAAATACACCGCAAGTGGTTGAGCCAGATGAACAGTGAGAAAAGATTTCTCAACAGATCATAGAGCTATATTGGTAGAAAACACAGCAGCAAGAGAAAACCTCCAAGTACTGAAACAGTGGTTGGAAGTTTCTGCCAGAAATGCAATAGAAACAGAAAGACTGGATCCTGAATACCTGGGTCTAAGTCCTCTTTCCATCACCTTTTATGCAATGTGTAGTTTTTCCGAGTCTCGGCTATCTTTTCTGCAAAATGATCATGCTTTTCTGAATTGATTATTGTGAGGCTTTAATGAGATCATAAAAGCATTTTAAATTCTAAACATCTGCTATTATCTAAGTTTCAAAAAAAATCAAGAAAAAAGCAAGGAATAATCCTGTGGTATAGTATAATCCTGGAAAATGTCAAAGACAAAGAGAGGAAAATACCTAAAGCATTGGCTCCTGACCCTTGGAATCACTTGGGGAAGTTTTTTTTAAAAAATAAAAACCACCCACGGCAGCAGTCTAGAGATGCTGACTTAATTAGATCTATAGTGGGACCTGATCATCGCTAATTTTTCTTTCAAATGTGATTTTTTTAAACAATTCTATTTCTAATGTGAAGCCAAGAATATAAGAAAGGACATGGCCACACAAAAAAAACTCTGAAGTTTCACTTCCAAAAGCATTAAAACTTCTGGGAGGCTCTTTTGTCATAACTGTATTAGATCAGTTATTACATTTTATTCAAACCACCAGGACATATAATCTCATATCTGTCTCTACCACTAGACAGTGATCAGAAATGTCTTATCCAATATTACTTCCCCAAAACCTAGCCAATGCAATACTTGACACAAACAGTAACAATAATAATTAGTTAATATTTAAGTGCTTATCATGTATCAGGCTTTATACTAATTGTTTATAGGTATTATTTCCTATAAAATTAACCCCCCAAAATTCCCAATGCTGGTAAGCATTAACATTACAGATAAAAACACATTACAAAGTAAAGTGAAGTAACTTGTCCAAAGTTACCACTATTCTTGAACCTCATCTGATTAAAATGGCCTGAAAACATTTTTAGTCACAATCATTTCGTTCAATAAATGTTTTTTTCCTTATACAACTCAGGATCATGTAGGGCTAGAGGTTCATCATCTGAACACCATTCTCAACGCAGACACAAAACATGTGCCGGAGACGGAACTACAGCTGCACCAAGCCCGAGGCTTCTGGGAGTTTGTTTGCTTTTAAATAAATCCTTGTTAATCAGTGTTTGTGTGGTCGTAATCTGCATTTTTTCCTATGACTGAAATATGGCCCAGAAACAAAAATGCAGTTTATCTAATTGAGATTTTATAATCTGAGGAATAAGGAGGAATTCGGACTATGTCAGAAGATCAAGTTGCAGCTTGTGAAGAAGTGTGCCCGGCTCGAGTGTCCAGGATGCCAGAGAGAGCAAGCCAGAGACAGCTTTGGAGAACCGCGTCTGCCTCTCATCAGCACACCCAAAGGGGAGTGCTCTTTACCTTCTAATGCTCAAGCTGTTCGGCTGGTAGAGATGATTCTGTCCATCCTTCCAGAACACTCTAAAGACCAGCCAACTCATGTTTATGTATCCGATCAAGTAACTCAAGTAACTCAAGAGTATCTTCTTTTTGGTCTCCTTGACATTTTCCAACACAATCTAAGATTATTCCCAATTATAGTAAAATAAAGCTTCTTAAAAGCTTTTTTTTTTTTAAAGGAGGAAGAGGGGGAATTTTGGCTAACTACCAACAGAATCAAAAAAGCAAACATCCAGCCCTGATGTGGCTAAAAGGTCATCATATGGGAAATGTAATCATCTCCAACAGTTAAAAGTCAAAATAGAAAAACTAGAAAAGCCACCTAAATATCTAAGAAGTTATTATATACTCCTTCCATGGAATAATACAAATGTTTGAGAGTTTTAGAAAACATGAAGTAATAAATACATAATAAAATTAAGTGAAAAGAAGATATAAAACTGCATATGAACTTGATTTCAAACTTTCAAAAACCTTTTTAACATTTTTTATTGATTTATAATCATTTTACAGTGTTGTGTCAAATTCGTGTTCAGCACAATTTTTCAGTCATATGTGGACATATACACACTCATGGTCACATTTTTTTTCTCTGTGAGCTACCATAACATTTTGTGTATATTTCCCTGTGCTATACAGTATAATCTTGTTTATCTATTCTACAATTTTGAAATTCCAGTCTATCCCTTCCCCTCCTCCACCCCCCTGGCAACCACAAGTCTATATTCTCTGTCTATGAGTCTATTTCTGTCCT